AAAAAAAAAAAAAAAAAGGCAGGAAAACACAAGAAATGAATCATGATACACTGTAATTCTCATATCAATGATGAGAGTTAACAAATAAAAACAACAAACAGGGCAGGCGGACCATACCTTTAGGGTCCACTTCTCGAGAAATCTTAATTGCATCTGATGTTGCAAGATCTTGGTTGGCAGGAGAAATTGCCAAGATAATACAGTTCGGCTGACAACAACCATTTAGGAAATTATATCAGCACACTAACCTCTAAGATTTGTCTGGACAAAACTAATCTGAAGTTCTGAACATTATTTAAACTCGTGAAAGCGAAAGGAAGGCCAGAATTTCAGCAAGGCAATGATTTCACTTATGTCTTGTGTTCTTCATCAAAAAGTTCAAACTATGCGGCTGGAGAATTCTTCTAATAAGTTCAACCCTACATTCTATGACAGAAATGACTGACATCATAACATACCTTCTCAATATAAGACCGAACCATGTTCTCAATATCCATCACAATACTATCTGGCTGACCCTCTACAGATAAACCAGGAGATGAACATTTAACTTTCTCGAAAAGTATATTAGGATAGTAATGGTAGCTAGTGAGGATAAATAGGAAAAATACAAAAATAATGAAATCCATAAACTCACCAACAGCCACTTTTGTAAGTCCGGGAAGATCAACTAATGTCAAATTCACAACTGCAATAAAAAAACTAATGCAAATTACCTGCTGCTCTAGAACCAATAAAAGAGAACCTAAAGTTGCATAACACTCATTTAATATTCAGTTGACACCCAAAATTTGAAACCACAGACTTTTAACAGCAAAATTAAAATGGCCTCAAGATCAATTGTTCACTCACCATTAGGCGAATATATACTAAGATATATTGGGACTGTAGAAATTTGCTTAGTACGCCCTGTCTCTCTATCAGTTTCATCAGATATTTCCTTCCGCACGGCAGCTGCAAAAATTAAAGCAGAGGTTTAGCAAACGAAATTGAAATGAATGGCATTCACTTGAAAGGAATTCATGTATGTATAGAGTGACAGCAAATGAAATGAGGCGAAGGTTAGCATAAAACTGCTAGTCAAAGCTGTCATGCTTTATTATTCACGTACCATGATAGAATAGTTGACAGAATATGCTTACCAAAATCAGTAAATCTTTTCCTCGGGAGATGTCCGAATTCTGCATATTCTCTACCCTCATCAATCCGATGAAGTTGCAGAACAAGTGGACGCCGAGTGACAATACCTATGTCATAGAAGGAACAAACCTTAAGAGTTATGTCATAGAAGGAACAAACCTTAAGAGTTTAACCAAAAGATGATGTGTAGGGAATGTGATTAGAAGACTATGAATACAAGAGGCTTTCAAGAAAGGGGAACAGCCATTACCAGATCCACGCGGTAAAAAGTCCTTTCCAACAACACTTTCAAGTACTGAGGATTTCCCCGAGCTCTACAAATCACAAATGTTAAGATCAATAACTGAAAGAGGCTCAAAATGAAATGATGGAAGGGGTAAGAAAATGCAATTCATGGTAGTGACTAATGACTGCAATTCATCATAGGACAGTACATGGGCATCAGAAAGGCAGATACTACTTAGAAGAGCCAAATGGAAGTTTGGTAGGCCAAATATTGGTAACATCAACAATCCCACTGTGGTTTGACAACATTACATCTGTATCGACACTGGAGATCGCGTTAACTATAATTTTATACACCCATTTTACATACATCCAGGAAAAAAATCCTAAACATAACTCTTGAAAAGTTGGCCGCAATACTTTAACCAGACAGCATTGCACTAAACTAATAAAGGCAATTTACAGATAACAATTCCAAATCCACAGATAACCACCGTGCGAAATGACCGAACTAACAAAGTTTAGCAAATGATCGACGGAGAGGATAAAACAACTAATTATTCCCCAGCTCCGTTAGATCAGCATCACACGATATATTCAGTAGAAGCTAACATAAACAAGAAGGGAAAAGTAGGACAAGGCAAGTAAAGAAGAAGAAAGAAAACAGACCTGACCACCAACGACGGCGATGGAAGGCAAAGCGTCCCAGAGAGTGGGCAACGTGTTCTCTTCGCCGTGATCTCCGAGCGCCGTGCACGCTCGCTGCAACCGGTTCACGAGTGATATGAGGTTCTCCATAACCCTAACTCAGCCCGGGTCAATGATCCTCTACTTGACTCAGGAACAGCTGCTTCACCACGAACAGAACTTGCGTATGAACGAAGGAACGAGTAAGCAGATTCGGTAACCAGTCAATGTAGAGAGAGAGAGAGAGAGAGAGAGAGAGTAGATGAAATTGAATTTGAAATGAACGAATTTGGTGAATGTAAAACGATGTCGTCGGTGGGTGACGATTGTTTCCTAGAGGCAAGCCGCTAGACGTGTCCAGATGGCAGGCTGGGTCGTGCCCAGTGGGTCGTCGGGCCACAACACATGGGCCCGGAACTGGTCCAAGCCTCCGGTTCATTGAACCGGCTGTTCATGGCCAATTTCGGGCCGGTCGGGAGGTTTTTGGCCTTTTTCTTATCACAGAAACAAGATCAACAAGACTCCATATGTATAACAAAGACAAGGGATTAACAAAAAAATGAATGCAGGTCGAAATTATGGAAATAAAAGTAAAAGCAGCAACTAAGGTTTACCCGCGCAACAAAGCGAAGATATCTTCTCTGAGTCTTGAGGTTTGAACCCTTCGAGTGAGGTCAGTAGCATGGAGCAGTGCTGTTAAATTAAACGAGTCTTGCTCAGCTCGAGTTCGAGGACTTAACGATCTGAGTTCAAGCTCATTTAAAGCTCGATTGGTTAACGAGCCGACCTCGGCTCGACTCGAGAAGGCTCGAAAATAGTATTTTTATATAATTTTTTATAGTTCGGCTCGTTAAAGCTCGTTTACAGCTCTAGCAGGGAGTACTTACATAAGCAAGGAAGTGATATCTCCATCACTAGCCGTCACAAGTAGGAGTTTATTGTTTGAAGGTCATCCTCAAGACAGGATCACTTGTTTCTCTTCTCGTCTTAAGGGATTGGGCGTTTCCGAGAGGCGATGTCGAGAGATCTCTTGCTCGAGGGAAACGGTTCTTTTGACCACCGGATTGGTCGATTGAAGTGGGGGAGACAGTGCCTTGCCCCTGGTTGATGGGGAGACAGGTTTCAGTTCCTCAGTCGAAGGGAAGACAAGCTCGTCTTCCTCGGTCTAGTGGGAGACAGACTCTTGTTCCTTCATCGACGAAGGCACAGGTTCGTGATCCTTAGTTGGAGATGTACTGGTGTGGCGCTTTGTTTTATGTTTGGATTGGTCGGGAGTTGTCTTCTTGGCCGACTTCCCCTTGCTGAGGAAAATCACGGGTTTAGCTATGAAGTCTTATGCAAAGGGTGGAGTAACAATTAGCACGACAATAAAGATCGAGGACCACACAGGGAGGTAGAAATTACCTGTTCCAGCCCCATCAACGATACATAGATCGTGAAGAGTTTTCTCGAGAGGGGGAGGATATGGTTTATCAGAGAATATGCCACAATGATGCAAAAGGTTATTATTCTTGAGGTAAGTTTCGAACGCAACCTTGTTCGAACTCCACAGGGCGATACGTCGGTCGAACACAAGATTTTAAGGGGGGGCTTTCAGTCTCAAAGGGAAGAGTCTTGAGCCAAGGAGTCGAGGCTCAAGGGAAAGGAGTGTCAGATTGGACATACTCGAATTTGTGTTTCTATTTGGGAACATTTGAGGGAGTGTCGGAAATAAGGTGGGCATTATTCCGGCTCTTCAGGTAGACCCCACGTGTTTTTTTTAGGCCACATAACAATAAAACAAGAAGTCTAGGTCAACTCAACCAGGACGGACATAAGATAGGATGATAAAAGTGGTTAAAAATTGAATAGAGTTAGGATGGAGCTGGATCAAAGGTAGGTCGAATATCCACACATGTCGAGCAATGCGGGGCAGAGAGGGAAACAAAGGTCTAACTGGAATTGACATTAAAAGAAGGTGTAAAAACCCTCAGAAGGTTGGTCATAGGTATCATTATCACATGTGCAGAAGAAAGCCCTACCACATGGATGGCCGACTTCGCCAAGGTATAGCCAATTAATTCGCTGGAACGAGAGCGAGGGCGAAGGATTGGTTCGGCGATGAGTAGTAGGTCGGCGGGTCGAAGGACCAGCTTTTATGGTCGAAGAAGGTAGTGGAGTGTTCGAAGATGGTAATAGAATGGTTGAAGCCACATGGTTAGGGTGAAGGACCTCGTGGTCCTCATCATCCGCCGCGACGGCTGAACGGTCGATGAGTGCGACGGAGGGGCAGATGATCGGTGGGGATATCTGGCTCATCGACCAGACGAAAGGGTTGATGAAGGAGATAAGAGTTTCGGGAAGTCGAGTGAACTTGGTGCCTTTCAACAGGAATTTCGGGTCGGATAATATAAATCGGAGTAGGAGGGAGAATTTCTTTAGCAGAGTTGTTAGGAGAGTGAGGTCGAGTTAGTGAGGTCGAAGATAAGGATAGAGGAGACATATCGTCGCTGGAGAAGCAGTCGTTTTCGCTCGAGGTGGCAAAATCTAAAAAACAAAAGGAAAATATCAAAAAAATAAGATTTTTAGGGTTTTAGGGTGGAGATGAAGAGGTTGAGCACAGAGGTCTTAAGGCTGTCGGCGATACACTGGAAGGGGAAGTGGAAAACGCAAAATTCAAATAATTCAAATATAAAACACTAGTCAAAGAACAAAACACTTACTCATTTTTGGAGGATCTGTGGAGATTAATCGAAAAACTAGTGAAGTTAGTGAAGTCGCGGCGAAATGCAGCGGACCATTGTTAAATTATAGAAAAACGATTGGAAGAACGAGAGGCAAAGCATAAATAAAGCTAAGGTAAAATTTTCAAAGGTATAAAACCAGTGCAATTCGGTGTTAAGGATATTTATAAGGGAAGAAGAGGTTGAGTGGAGGAGACGATCGTTCGTCGGTCGTTGGATCAGCAGAAGAATCTACGGTGGAAAGTTGAAAGAGAAAAGTTGCAGGGTTCCGACCATTGAATTTAAGGAATCATTGATGGTCTAGATTTATTGGGTCATTTGAAATGTTAGAAAGACCGGCCGCTCGATTAAAGGCAAATCTGATGGTTGTAGGGGAATAAGGCATTTAATGTGCACATCGTTCGAGGCAGCGCGCCTTACAGAGCAATGATGTCAGTGTGGTATGCAATTTGATAAGTGACAGATGAATTTTGAATTTTGAAAAGGAGATGGGGAGAGGAAGTCGCTTTAGAATAAAAGTGGATAAAGTGGTCGAGGAACAAAAGGAATAAAATAGCAACAAAAGCGGAGGATGAAACCTACTCTTATATCTTATTCAAACTCAACCAGAGTGAGGGGGCATGAAGGGGAGACTAGATGATATGGGATATAATATCCAAAAGAGTAAATCGGTCGAGTGGGTCGAGCAAGCCGTCTGATCGAGCAGAGTTAGAATGGAATGGTCGTGGCAGAACATCACAGGAGTAAGAGCCTCTGATCCGGGAGATAGCTTAAAAAGGGATTTCAGTACATGAAGAACATGTCAAGCTAGGACTCTCGGATAGCCTGGCCAAAACTCGACCTGTAGCACAAACGGTCGTTTAATCGACCTACACTCAGGCTCAGAACAGTTAACGCTTCACCTCAAATCGACCTAGAATTGGTTGAGCTCTTGAAGACAAGACGGAATCTCGAGGATTTAAGCCCTACATTGGCAAAACCACGTGGCACCACCTCACTGATCCATGCCTCATAATTGTCTCTGACACATCATGACAAAAGAATCATACTATCGGACAACTGGGGTAGCTTACTCATCACATCCGGGCATCCTCCTAGAAACAGGTACCTCACCCCGAATAGGGGTGAGATGTGCATTTTCAGCAATTAGTTCATGTTACTCTATATTATCGAGAGTTCGTCTTCTACACATACCCACTTAAGAATTGAAGGCTCTTCACCGAAAAATCCCATCGGTATGAGAGTTTTTGCAGATCTAAGAGTGTCCAACCGACGAGGAAGCACTCGATCAAGTCGATTCCCAGACGGTCAGGGGTTTTCACGTACCAGTACCGATCTATCAGTTTATACTAAATGTTGATCTCTCAGGACAGTATGAACGGGATCTGGGAAAGTGACCGCCCAACCGATCACATCAATAGAAGGAATACGCATGTTGACATGTGTCAGACTCCCACGCCCTTAGTTGGAAACACAACAATCATTTTCTTTTTACTTTATTTATGTATAAAAGTCGCATTAATTGTACTAGAAAAGACACACCACAAATATACGTTCCAATATATACATTCACATACATGTTTTTCTCACAATTATTCTCATATGCCAATCCCTAGTTGTGTGGCGATAATATGCCGTAAATTGGCGTTATCGCTACCAATTAGAGATCTCTAATATATACAAGTTGTTTTTACATTTAAACTCTCCTTTTATCTATCAAACAAGTTTGGTAACATCTTGCTATCAACAAATTGATGCTAGAGAAATGGCCTAGATAAGAGTTTTGGCGAATCTTCTTACCACCGACCACCAATAGAAAAGGTCGGCCCTTCACGATCGACCCCAGATTTTGTTCGGTGACCACAAGACAAGCCCATTCCAACAGATTTGAGTCAGTAGATCCACAATCATCCCAACTTATCAATATCAACTGTCCAGAGGTGATCCCAACTTATAAATATCAATTGTCCGGAGTCGAGTGGATTGCTTCAACAACAATGAGCCTATGCTCGTCAGGCTTACATTATCGATCAAAAGTGCTTGCCAACTCCTCTTGGATTGGCAAAGAGTAACTTACACTCAATCTCTTTCTCTGAACATGATGCAACATGAGTCTACCACCCTCATTCAGATGCACATGTTATAACTGAAGTCTGTCATCATCATCAATATCCCAGTCCACCGAATAATGATGGATACCAGTTCTTATGTTAGTTGTAGTTTTATTCAAACTCTTATCCAAATGAGCGTTGATCTCGCCGAAGTACGCCCTTGAATTGATGAGGTTAGAGGTTTCGGTGGGGATGTCGTCCTTCTCGTTGGGAGATTACGCTGTCAAACACCTTTAGAAATTGGGGATCTCCCTCCCAAACTATCCTAGAGACTTTTAAGATTGTAGAGTAGGTCACAAAGTAAAATGCTATTTTAGCTGACCCGCGTTCGACATCAGACAACTGCATCCATTTACCATTATCCTTTGAAATTTCTTACCACCGATGGAGAAGGAACCCATTATGGCGATCAACGAACAACCCGGGGAAGCATCATAGTGATCCTGTCCAAGGAGATTTATACTTGATAAATCAGATAAGACACATCTTCAAAGCCTAACGATACATCCCATACAACATTGAAAACGAGCTAGATCTTAACCATGACCGGGGTCGCCTCCCGGAAGGAGCCTTTGCTATTGATCGATGAATTAAACCCACGCTCTCCTTCAAAGAGTGATTTATTGATCGAACACTGTCGGTCGAGAAAGTAGAGCTTACCTGCATGAACGAACCTTCTTTCACGAAGCACCTATGGATTGATAAGTCTTTGATGGAGTCATACCGATCTTAACTAATTTAAGTAATAAATAGTATAGTTGTTAAAGTTAAGATAGATTTTGAAATAGATTGATATGAAATGAATTTATTTATAAACAAATACGATTTGCCAACTCAACTATTTTGAAATTCAAATGGCTCTGGGGCAAACAATTTTAAGCAAATGACTTCATTCTCAATTCACTTCAAACACAATCATTCCAATCCTTTACCCAAATAAATAGTTGTCATTAACCATAAAATGCAACTGACTATGGATTATTCCCTCACTCATAGCTGCCTCAATTTTTACCAAATGATATAGTGAGATAATAAATTGCTTTGAATATATATATATATATATATATATATATATATATTGCTTTTGTATTTTCAAATTTTGGAGAATACAATGTGCAATATAAGCTTGAGTTCCATTTAGTACATGTTTTAAATTAGAAAGGGCCCAGGAGGTATTCATAGGTTGGATCAGCCCCCGACGAGAGCGAGCATATAGTTACATCACGATAGAGTTGGAGTGTCTTATTCTCAATCGATTCTAGTTTAGGCTTTGTGTAGCCTCCTTTCTTGTACCTAAGAAGAAAAAAAAAAGTAGAAAGGAAACTCACAAGTCATAAGCTTGATGAACCTTTGATAAATGGATTATTGGGCAAAATTAGTACTTACAAAAAAAGCAAAATCAAATTATTTTATGTTTGCTTGCTTTTGTTGTTTTTTCCTTTTGTGAAAGTAGAAAGAAGATTATATTTACTTGATTGATGCCAAAACCCACAAGCAAATAATATATCATCAATCACCCTTGCCTTTCCACATTCTCTCTCTCTCTCTCTCTCTCTCTCTATACCCTCTTTACCAGAAATGGGCGATCCCCATTTCCCTCACAGATCTAACCATAACCCAAACCCTTATTACCCTCACACCGCCAAATCGAGGGGCGGCCGGACCAACCTAGCGTCCTGCGCGGTCGCCACCGTCTTCCTGCTCGCCATCGCGGCCGCCGCAGTCGCCGTTTACTTCTTCCTCTTCAAGCCCAAATCCCCGCTAATCGCCGTCAATGCCGTCCAGTTCCCCACCTTCTCCGTCTCCAACGGCACCGTCAACTTCGAGTTCTTCCAGTACGTTACCGTCACCAACCCTAACCGGGACGAGTTCTCCCACTACGACAGCTCGCTGCAGCTGGTCTACTCCGGACAGCCGGTCGGGACCGTCTTCATACCCGCCGGCAGAATCGGCGGCGGCGAGAGGCAGAAGATGTCCGCCAAGTTCGATCTGCAGAGCTACCCCCTCCCGCCGCCGGAGAGGGTCGCGATCGGCGGCTTGAGCGACGGTGCCGCCGCCACGGCGGAGGGGACGATGGAGATCGAGACGCGGATGACGCTGGTGGGGAGGGTTCGGGTTCTGAAGGTGTTCATGCACCGGGTGGAGAGCCGAGTGAAGTGCGGGGTGGCGGTTGAGGTCACTCGCGGGACCGTGCTGGGTGTCCGCTGCTGATGTGCCACAGTGCCACTACCGTGAAAAAAAAAGAAAAAAAAAAAGAGAGTAGAATGTATTGATGAGCTTGTTTTTTGGTGAAACAAAATTCAAGCACACAGAATAGAAATAGTATTCTATGTGTGTCTGTTTGTGTGTTGTGTGTACTTGTGTTGTCCTTTCTAAATTTGATGGAAAGGATTACGTACGCTGATATGTTACAACAAATGTACAAATGTTTGGTTTAATTTTCTCATTTGGGAAATGCTACGGTCCCATTACGGAACTATTGTGTCGTGGTTTGTAATCGTTAAGATCAACTATCCCAACGGTTAAATGATGATCTGACGGTTACAAACTACGACGGAATGGTTCCGTAACGTGATGGTTACTATATATCGCTCCCTGTTAATCTTTCTTTACCTCTTAACCTACTTTCAGACACACTGCTAAAATTATACGAATTACAATATTCCAGGTAAAAACAACTGATCCATGTAGGAGGTAATTATCTACAATTTTAAGAAAGTAAACCAATGCTTTACAAAACAAAAAGGGAATCAGGGCTGGTTTACTTGTCTCATTGTCTTCAACTGTTTAAAAATTAACACAACTTGGTATTCAAATCTCTAAGAACAAGTTTTTTTTACCAAGGATAAATGTTGGTGTTTATCATTGGCAAACAAACCAGTCACTTTTTACATGCCAATGGCGAGAATAGCCGGACAATCTTATCATAACCTATCCACTGTCGAGCTATAGCTTCACGGTTTGATGCGCCTTCTCGATTTCCGCTTTCTCCTCCCCCTGCCATGAAAGGATGTATCAACTTTTACAATAGAAATAGTACAGTGTTGCTTCATTTTGATTGTGGACAGAAGTGTTATTATAGTACAGTGTTGCTTCATTTGTTTGTGGACAGAAATGTTATTATCCACAGAGGATCGTCAGAGATTTCCCGATAAATGTTACCTCTTGGCTGGTTTGGTGCTGCCAAACACTCCCTTCATCATTACATCGATATCTACAGAGCGTTCCTTTGTGATTTTGTCGTGGTACATCTTACTCCCGATTTCTGTGATCAATTCTTCTACTTCTTCCAGGGTTTGGTCAATGTTGAGCTGCAGTTCACCTTTCCTTATGACGGTCACACTGAATCCGTTTGCCTTGGCTTCACGAAAAGCATCCTGTTAAGAAAATTGAACAAGATGATGATACGGATATTTCATTGCCTTTGCCTGAGGAAATCATGGGATGAGCTATCATGTTGTCTTTTATGTCTTAACAACAGAGTGTAATAATGCAAACACTTCCTCTGTATTTACACAGAAAGTACTCTCTCGCATGAGGTGAGATTTTAGGGGTCAGCTTTTGCAAAATGGAAACCACAATATAATTGGGGCATTTGTGAGCGAAAATTACAAAAAACTACCTACAAATTTTTAAGGCAGGTGTCTGCTAATTTTAAAATGCCAGTTCTTTTTATGTATTTATTTATTTTTTTTGGGGTCAACTATCAAGGGTGCCTTTTGTAATAATCCTATTTGAAGTTTGAAAATGAAGTACACACAACAAAACACAATTCTTGTGTGACGAGGCCTAACTGTTACGTTGGTCTATCTTTTTCAGAAAAATGCATACTTACTCTATGAAATGTCATACTTTTGTTTATATTGTTTTTCAATGTGAAAGTATGCATATACGTTTGAGAAAAAGATTTTGTAACCGCTAGGCCAGAAGCCTTACTGCTGAAAAAACAGATTTACCTTGGGTGGTCGAGCAACAACAAAGGCATTTCCATTCCCTAGCATCTCCAGGTGTGCCTGTATAATGTAGCAAAAGTTCTTGCAGTCACCAGCATGCTCAAAAGCAATCACGTGATATTGCTTGGGATCTAATTCCAGATCAGCAGCCATCTCCAGCGAGTATAGACCAACCCTCTGCTCACCATTCTCAACAGTGTACATTTCTATGCACTGAAACGGGCATAATTTGAATGATCAAGTTACTCAACATTAAAAAATTAACGATGAATAAGAAATGGTGTAGGAAAATACCTTGGAGAAAAGAAGGTTGAAATAAGAGAGTGTAAAAAAAAAAAAAAAAAAAAAAAAAAAAAAAAAAAAAAAAAAAAAAAAATCTCAGAGAAAAAGAAGGATAAAAGGTAAAACACCACCAATTATGTTTAGCCTAATTACAGAAGAATAAAAAAATTGTTTCGATAATATGAAACACTCCATTAATGCATGACAAAGATCTCTAGGGATTTTTATTTACATAAAAAATACCCCTGAAGGAGCCATTTGTAGGACAAAATAATTTGCAGGGATATCTGCAGTTTCCGAAGGCAGATTTTCTTTTTTTTCTTTTCACTTTTATACAATAATATGGCCAACAAAGGTACAATTTGTAGTTAATCCCCCAACCGAAAATTAAAATGGGAAAAAAAAAAGAAAGAAAAAGGTGTTTTGGTTTTTATCATATGCCATGTATAAAAATATATCAGCCACCTACCAGTACAGAGGGAAGATCGAGCCACCACAGGTAATCTTCTTCCTTATCTTCTCCATATTCACGATATTTACTCACAACAGCTTGGGGCCCAAAAAGCTCCACCTCTCTTTTCACCTTGGCGAGTTTCTCCTTGATGAACTTTTGTCTTTTTTCAGGAATTTTGTCCATGAGATCAGCTGTTTCTTGTATTTCCTTCTCCGTTGTCCATCTATCCAAATCCTTTCCCATGTCCCTCATTACAGCTTTGATTTCTGGGTCTGTCTCAGCATTATAGGACTCCAAAGTTCCTCGGGACCATTTCTTGGTATGCTCCCAGAATTCCTTTCCTGATCTTTTTCCAGCTTTGATTGAACCATCACTACCTTGTATAATGGTCCTTGAGGATGCTAAATTAGCTTTCTGGGGATCGGTACTAGGTTTGTCCAACTGACTATTTTTGTGCGAGGAAGGCTTTTCGGATTTATGAACCATTTTTTTTCCAGTTCTCTTAGAGGAAATTGAATTCTTGTGGCTCTCAGAGAAAAGGGTCTTTCTTTGTTCCACAAAGTTATTCAGAAATTCAGGGTTCGTTTCTGCGGGCGGGACTTTCCACCGGGGTATGATTTTCTCTGGAGGATCATACACACTAATGCCATCTGTAGGAACAATAAGGAACCACATCAAGATAACTGTTTCTAGTAGGCCTCGTTTGGATGAATGAATTCGAACTTGAGAAAGTCACATCAAAACAAATGAACTTGTTATAATACAATGATATTCAAGAGCTCACATTTCCAGTTTTAGCTACTTTTTTTAGTCGATAAGGTGTATCTGTGTATCTAAATCGATTTCAAAAACAATGGAAGGACTTGATCAGTTTGCGTGTATTGGGGAAAGAGTTTTAGATGACCTCACATTATGGATTTGGAATACTACTCACTGACTTTGAAAATAGCCGAATATAGGAAGTAGGAACACATGGAATGGAAATCCATTATATTATAATCAATTCAAAAAATATTAACCGCATCACTTTTATATGCAGCGAAAAGAAGTTGGTTCGGAATGAAATGATAAATAAACCAATCTTCGTTACCTGCTCCATAGTCAAGGTTTTCGATGTTTGAATGAAAATACTCGTGCAACTTCAGCAGCTTTTCATTTTCTTGTTGGACCTTCTTTTCAAGGCCACTAAAGAATGCATGTTTATCTTCTTCACTAATAAGATGAAATGGATCTCTTCCAGACAGCTCATTGTCTCTTACTTTAAATACAATCTCCGCAAGCCTTTCATCTTTCATCCACTCAAGTTCACTATAAGCAGTTTCTTTGAGTTCCGCCAGCTCAGTTGTTAAATCTGGTTCTAGACTGGCTTTCTCCCTTGCAGCCCAGTAATTGTCTTTGAATCCAACCCCAATCTTCTCTACAATGGGCTCAAATTTATTGAAGTTTTTATCCAACCAGTTTTCTTTATTAATCAATGGTGCTAGATCTGCAGCTTTATCCTCAGCTGCATCGGCAACTTCATTTTTGTCTGGTATTTCACTATTTTTAGTATCTTCAGAATCACTATCAGCTTCAGTTGAATCAGAACTAACACTAACTTCCCCACCTGTGAACATTCTAGATTTTCTCATATCATCCAGGCACTCTGTATTTTCTTCTGCTTTTTCACCAACAGTAACGTAATCTTCAGACGGATGTGAAAAATCTTGTGCTGTATTTAAATGGGGAGAGGCATTTACTTTGTTAGTTAGATTCGCATTCTTGCTTGTCCTATCAGATGCAATATAAGCACCAACTTCATCTTCTGTTTGGTCTACCTCCAGTTTGTGATGCTTCAATGACAGGTACTCCCTGGCTTCCTTGGCCGATTTTATAATTCTCAACTTTTTTCTCGAAGAACTTACAAGTGGGCCTGATGGACCTTCGGAAAGATGGTTGGCTTCATTTGTACTCGAGGATCTTGGTTCCTGTTTCATATTGCTTGCTTCAAGCTTCAAACTTTCAGTAACATTAGGAAAATCATAAACTTCTGTCTCACATTCCTCGGTTATACCACCATCAGCGAAAGGATTCAATTCTGTTGTTCTATCAGAATCTCTCTTATACACTTCCCGACTCTGGAATTCATTTTGTGGATTCAAACTGTGTCTAGAAAGATCTTCCAAGGCTCGATAATTCTCTTTACCAAGATCATCTGACAAAGAATCCTCTCTCTCAATTTCTCGTGCATGCCTTGCCATTGCCCTGATTTCTTCAATTTTATCTTTTTGTTCCTTGTTCTGGTAACCAGAGTACTGCACTACTCCCACCTCACTATATGACTCCTTTGCCTTGATAATGCTATTAACAAGTTCTTCCTTATTGAGCTGAGGCTTCTCTAAGGACACAATCTGAGGCTCTATTAGAGGCGTCACTATTTCCACATTACCTTTAGCCATTTTCTCGTTTTCGGCTCTAGCTTTTACTTTCCTCTGCAACATCTCCTTCTCTAGCCTTGTAAGCTTCTTACTTTTTTCCCCAGTGAGAAATATCCCTCGAACTGCCCAAATCAGACACAAACCACATAATGCAAAGAAGCCAACCCTCGACTGTTTTGGAAATGAACCTGGTTTCAAAGTGACACCACGAATCACTTCCATAAAACGGGATTTCCCACCAGTGTGCAAAAACTTAGCCACGGAGCTGTTTCTGGGAATCACATCACTGCCATTTTCCATTTCATTTGCTAGGTCTTTCGCAAAAGATATCTTATGGTTAACTTCAGCCAACTCATCGTTATCGTCGCATGACATTGGATCAATTCGGGCCCGTCTCATTATTTCATCCTCATTCACGATTACCCTTTCGACTTTACCGTCAGAGTTTTGAAAAACAGTAAATATAGGGCCAGTCCCAACGCCCCAAAATTCCGAGTCCCTCTCATACTGAACACGCCAATTTTCTAACTTATTCCACATGGCGGAACCGCCATTTTTATCGTTCTCTGACTTGGTTTCTGATTCTTCAACACTCTTAGAGTCATTAACGCAAACACCAGGACTGCCACTCTCAAGATTCGTGCCGTCTCCACTAAAGCTGTCAAATTTAGATTCAGTTTCAAGGTTTTTCTCGATATTATCGATTGTTTCACCGGAAACACCAGATTTTGAGCCGTCGATGTCAGACTTACGAACTGGGTGTTGAATGAGACTCACCTGCTGTTGCAGCTGCTGCTGCTGCTGCTGCTGTTGTTGAGTGAGCTTTTTCCTCAGATAATTCTGGCGGTTCTTGGGTTGTCCAAGTCGAGCTGAGATTCTCCATTTTGCTGATGGGAAGGAGCGACATGGATGCCGCCAAAATGAGGGGCGCGATTGATGTTTTCTTGAGCTGCATAGGTAC